TGTGGGAGGAGATGGAGGTTGGTGCAGGATCCTCCCGTGGCAGCTGAATGGGAATGTGCAGGTGGTTCCTGCTCCCTCGGATCCAACCTTTTTTTTTGGGATTGTGCTGGTAATTATCAATCCCCCTCCACACTGGGATGCCGCCCTCTCATCTCCCAGCTCTGCTTTTGGGGAGGGGAAAAAAAAAAACCCACATTTTTTTTGGGTGGATGGTGGAATTCCACCCCTTTCCCCTGCAAACATCTCCCAAATATCAGCGAGTTTTCCGATTTCTCCGTGAGAACCGAACGAAAAATCCTCATCTCCCCTTCCTCAGCAAGGCAGAAATACATTTAATATCCAAGCAGGGGAGGGAAGCAGGAGCCCGAATTCCCTGCTCCCACTTTGTACCCAAAGCTTCATTTCCCAGCGCTCGGGAAACGCAGATCCAGAGCATCTATTTGAGGTTTTTATTCCTCCACCCACGGGCCCTGCTGGAACAATCTGCTCCCTCCTCGCTGTCACTGCTATTAATTATGGCTCCAAACGCTGCTTTGGACCCGAGGTTACATTTGCAGAGCACAAATCCCCGTTTATTTGCATGGCTGAGGTATTTTTTTCTCCCCCCCCCTATTTGTGGGCTGTTGTTTGGTGTGAGGATTGTTTGTTGGGAGCTGTTTAATTTTTTTTCCTGATGTGTTTAATATACAGTATTGACGTATTTATGTGTATGTATATAAATAGAACATATATATATATATATATATTAGAAAATGGAATATATATATAGAAATGGAATATATATGTAATGAAATATATATAAATAGAATACATATATAATGGAATTTATATAAATGGAATATATATATAATGGAATATATAGAAATGGAATATATAGAAATATACAGAAAAATAGAATACATATATATAATAGAACACATGTAGAAATGAAATATATAAATATATATATGTGGAATATATATATATATAAATTATATGTAAAAATGGAATATGTAGAAATATGGAAAATGGAACATACGAAATGGACATTAAAAAATGGAACATATATAATAAAGTGGAAAATAAAATTGAATAGGTAGAAATGGAATATATAGAAAAATGGAATCTACATAAAAATTTAATATATATTTTTTATGAATATATCTATATAAACGGAATATATATATATATATGTATATAAAATTTATTTATCTGCAAGTACTCCACTCAGAAAAATGGAACAAGGCACCAGGACAGGAGAATTCTTTTATCATGATTAAATTAACCCCTCTTTGTATTGTGTTAACACAGTTTCTCCCAGCCTGGAAAAGGTTCCTGAGGAAGAGGGGGGTGAACAGGCTGTGATGGGCATGGGAAGGTGAAAATGGGAAGAAGTGGATAATTATTGTACATTTTCCTAATGGAAATAAATGGATATCTTAAACCAGCAAATGAGTGTGGAGGGGTCTCAGACAGTGACTTTTAAAGGGCTTTCTATATTGGAAACAATTTGGGAGACTGGTGCAGAGATCAAAACACTCAACCTGACCACTGTGAACGAGTCAAATGCTCCGAGAAAACTCCACTGTGCAAGATGAGAAGCCTGGGGGAAAAAAAAATAAAAAATCATCTCCATCAGCCAAGGAGAATAAAAGAGAAGCAACTGATAGTCTTAATTCAAAAGCTCAATTACAGGAGTTGTGAGCCCTGGGAACTCCTCCTGCTAATGATGTGTCTGTGCTAAGGCAGGGAAAAGTGCCTTAAAAAAACAAGAAAAAAAAAAAAAGAAAAA